CTGCTTATGAAAGAGCACCGTGTATGTACAGCTAATGCTAGTGGAGGGTAAATATGTTGAGGAATTTCCTGGAAGTAAACCTACAGCATGACATATGGACACATGAGCAGACACACATGCATCCGGCTTAGTTAAATAATTAGCTGGTGAGATGACAGGTGGAACTTTAATGCCTTTGGGATCATCAGCTGATGAGGAGGTTTCTGGATTTTGTTTCTGTCATAGACTTGCTTTTGGCTTTACCCACAGTAGCACAGAAGCAGTGGGAGTGTTGCTGATCAGAGCTCATCCAGGAGAGAGGAGCGGGTGGATGTGGGAGAGCTGAGCGTGACCTTATCGAGCAGCGTTGCCCCCTTTGTGATAAATAAAAATCCATCCTGAAGCACAAGCAGCTGTTCTGACCTGGACCTGTGCAGGAAGTGATCGCGTCTCTTCCATGTGCGTCCCGCTGCGTGTCTCCTACACCCGGTCCCGCCGCCGCCGCCGCCGCCGCTGACCGGTGCCGTCACCTGTCCCCGGTGCCGCGCGCGCCTGCCTGCCTCACCGTCCCGACAGCGGCGCGTGACGTGACCCACCGAGCACATGACATGTTTAGCTTTAAAGTGACGTCACGGCAGCGTGGGGCGGCGGGCAGGTCGCTCGTCAGTGGGAGAGAAGAGGAGCAGCAGGAGGAGACGGAGCAGTCTCCTCTTCTCCGGTGACGCGCTCTCATCCCCCCTCTCTCTCTCCAACTCCTCCGAAACAAGCCTCAGTCTCCGGGATTCTCCTCCGTCGCTCCCCTCGTCCTTTTTTCAGTTGCACCTATTTTTTTTTAATTTAATTTAATTTTTATTTTTATTTATTTATTTTTTTTACTTTCTCTAACCCTTCGCCACCCTTCAGCACCTCCACAGATGTAAGTAGATGATGAGGACCCCCCCACCCCTCCTGCCATCGCTGACTTCAACCCTCCGAGCTTCACAGAACCGAACATCCTCATCGTCCGCCCCCAATTTTTCTTTCTCCTTTTCTTTTTTTCTTTTTTTTTTCCTGGACGTTCAGCTGCCTTTCAACAATGTAGAAGATGCGCTGTCATTTTAGCGACGAGGATGCCAACTCCATGCCCTGGTTCTGCTCGCCTTTCTCACATCTGCGTGTCTTTGCAGCCTGGGGGGGTGGAAATGAGAGATCTGCGTAAAGGTAAAGTTTGAGGGCAGCTTTCCCGCTCACCTGTCCGCCTGCCCCTCTCCTCTGACTGCCGCCGAGGACCAGCGACACAACATCAGACGAACAACTTCAAAAAGACCTGACTGTTGTTCTGGTGGTATTTTTTTTTCTTTCCTTTTTCTCTGGGATCTGGCCGTTATTGGAGGAATTCGATGTGCGCAACGCTGACGGATATGGCTTAAATGATGTTTGTGTTGACAGCTGGAGTAAGATCCGTAACTTGAGTGTTTTTTATTTTTATTTTTATTATTATTGTCAGCAATTGTCGACTTTGGTGGAAACCCATCTAAATGGGAGGATACCTGGAGGACTGATTCGGCAGTCGAGCAAAATGTGGATAAAACGGAGCGTTGCGCGCAGGTAAGCCCGAGCGGTTCGTGTTTGGGGTGAATGAGGAGGAAACATGTCGCTCCTGGTTTCTGTTGTTTCACATTTGACGACGCTGCTCGACAACATGTTGTCTCAGGTTTTTTTTATTTTCTTTTAAATGTGCGCCACTGCAAGTTGTGAGAGTGCGCAGGGCTCGATGCTTGACTGATGTCTCTGGAGGTGTTTGAGGAGCAGCAGCCGAACTGTGGATCCAAACTTGTCCACGTCCCCCCGGCTGCTGCTGCTGCTGCTGGCCGGCCGGCGCCGTGTTGTCGGCGGGGAGCGTTGAGGCGAGGCGCTGTGCAGATATGTGGAGCGTTTTTTTTTTCTTTTTTTTTTTTTTTTGGAGGAGGATGTGATGGAGGAGTTCCTGTGCTGGACCGCTGGGGGTCGCCAACAGCACGGAGCAGCTCACACACACAGCTGCACTGGCACGCGCGCGCGCACGGCCTCAAGGTGAAGCCTGTCAGCTCCTCCCCACCTGTGTCAACACACACGTGAACGCGCGCCCAATTAATTAGGCAATTAGTTGGTGAAATTAGGGGTGAAAAAAGGTAAACTTTCAAACTACACCTGAGGGATTGTGGCGGCCTTAAATGTCTGCTTGCTGTGACTTTGTTGCTTTCAAAGCTTTTGTTTGGCTTTAACCTATAAAGATGTAGAAGCACAGATCAGGAGGGAGGAGCAGAGGTGGTGAGCGTGACCCTGCTGAACAGCATTGGCCTCTTTGTGATAAATTAAACCCGTCTCTGTGCAGTTTGGAGAGCAGGCTGCTGATTCCAGGCTCCTAAACTAAACCCAAACACTGTTCATTTACCTTAAAATGGCCTCAGAGGTAACGACATGCTGGGAAACGAGACCCAACCTGCCAGCGGTCTGATTCTCTGGCCACCTGCTGGATCTCATTCCCGGCGGTGGGTCTGATTCCTGTGCGTTCATGACGCCCGGCACACGCTGTACATCTCAGGGCCGACCTCGCAGGGCGACGGCAACGCAGGCCGTAGACACAGCAATCGCACCAGATGATGGAATGAAATACTCTAAGGTACCGTATCTCTAGATGGATCGGTCCGAGGCACAGAGAAACCAATTTCCATCTTCAGGAATTTGCTTGTCACCTGCTGACACGATGTGGAAAGTCAAAGTGGGGACGCTGGATGAGCAGCAGCTGCTGAAGTCTCTTCTCATTGGTAGTCATTTACCACATTTTACCAGGTTCCCCATCACAGGCTGAAGGCTTGTGTTGTTAGCTGCTGTCGTTTGTGAGCAGACGGTGGTGGCGAGCCTTGCTGGGAGGTCTTTGCTCTGGTAAACTGTGACTCTTCCTGTATAAGTGGTGTTTTTTTGTTGTTTGGAATAAAAAGCAGTAGCAGTGTGAGCAGAGACAGCTATTGTACCTGTTGGAACAGACAAAGAACAAACCACCTACAGGAGCTGGATGTGTGGGCGTAAATGCAACAGCACTGCCTTTAACAAACCAGCAAGAAAAGACTGATGGACGGATAGAGGCAACGTGTAGAGCTTTGGAAGATGACCACCGTGGCTGCTGGTTATGTATTCAGGCCAGAGTGTGTCATTAAAGCAGCAGCCTGAGGACCAGGGCCGGGTGCTGCCTGATTATTATCATCACTGATAGACTGTGACTGGGCTGATGTGCTCATCATGTGGGAACATACTGTAAGAAGTGCATTAAACCAACTATTCCAAGCAAATTGTAATTAGAGACGGACAGTTTTGAAAATTTTTCACAGTGAAATAATTCTAGGATTGAAGAAATCGTTAAGAATTTACTGAAATCAGTGATCAATACTGTGATTGGGTTTAATTTTTTACTTAAACCAGTTTATTAGAGGTATGTTTAGGTTATTGTTCATCCAGAAGAGCAGCAATCTCTAAATGGAACTGATATAAATGTGCACTAAACCTGACATTCTGACTCCATCACACTTCATTCCTTCGTTTATTTTTCATACCTGTTATGTGTCTCAAAGGATTTGTTTTGCCCCAAGATGCAAGTGGCTCCAATTTAACAGACTCATAAACCGGTGAGTGTCTAACTGGAGGGTTAACCAGCAGGGCTTCGTCTCTCTCAGGCGAGCCCAATCTTTCACGGACATCAGCGGGTCTGAGGTTCCCCACGGTGCGCTCTTGTGCCGCCGAGGCAGTGGAGATGCTATCGGGCCTCGGCACACTGCAGCTGGCAGAGACGCCTCTCGCTCGAGCCTCATCTGTCTGCTTACGGTGGGATTGTTCAGGTGACCGTTGGCTCACGTGCCCTGCTCAGTCTGGCCTCCTGTGATAAACGGGAAGAGGTTGTGGTGCTAGTTAGAAAAACAGTGAAGTGCACGGACCTGGGAATGACCTCCTCGTCGATAGTACTGGTGCTTAGCATTCTGTGCATCAAAAAGGAGGCAGCTGCACATCTGACTAACGGTCTGATTAGTACCACTGGTTTAATGTACACGGCTGCTAACATGCTAAACCCAACGCCGTGGCGTTTCATTCCAGTGAAAACAAACTAATCAGGCTGGAGGTGATGAGCCGTCAGGGTTAAACGTGGCCTCGCTGTGTTCGGGGCCATCAGATATTCAGATATTGCTATGATTTAGGTGCCATCTTAATGGCCTCTATGAGGGTTATTAACTGGGCCTCTCTGGAGCGTGATTAACCTAATTTGCAGTGAAATAGGCTGTGTTGCTTCTCTGAGATCCTATCCTCTGGAGGCGTGTGTGTGTGTGTGTGTGTGTGTGTGTGCGTCGTTAACACCCAGTGCTCAGCAGTCTGTTAAATCCAGAAGGACCAGAACAGGTTGCCCCTGTGTGATAAGAGACAAAGCAGACGTAGATGTAGCCGGTTCGTCTGAGCGAATACCACGAGGAGCCAAAGACGAGCGAACAAGAGAGGAGGAAGTGGCTGTTGTTAAGGACAGCGGTGAACCATAAATGACTCCTCGCTGACTGACGCAGCAATTAGCAGAGAAGAGACGAGCTGAATTGGATCATCGCTGCTATTGTGGTTCACTTACGATAAAACATTACTGCATGTTGCTGGAAATGAGCTCATGTAGCTTGAAGGACTCGTCACACTGAAACACACACACACACGTATATAAATATCTTCAGCAGCATGAGTTGGAGGCAGTTTATTGCCTTTTATTCTGGACCGGACGGTGGCTTTAGTCCATCGTGGGACAGTCGCCTCCCTCAGCTACAGTAAAACCCCCGTATTTGGATCTCATGAAATTCAAGTCCAAGCCTCCCGCCGCGGTGCCAGCAGCCCTCAGCCTGATTGGATTTAATGACCAGCCTGTCCAGTTTGGGCTACATGAGAAAGTTTGGGTTACTATTTCACTGGAGCACATCCATCCCGTGGAGTAAAGGAGCGAGCAGCCCAGAGCTCATGCTTGATTCATGCACCGGGCTCCTGCCGGATCAATACTGCCTCTACAAAGGATCACATTTATCCGTCTTGGCCCTTCCCTCTAACTATCTTTCTGCAGGCGTGGGGGCGTCTCTCAGCAGACCGCTTTTCACTAAAATACTTCATAAATGAATCAAAGACGGCCCTCTTTACCCACTACCCCCTCAAACCCTCTTTATTTTCAGCTGCTCAGCGGTAAATGATGTGGATCGCGGCGCAATCAGAACCCTGACAGCGAGCGACTGATGCGATCGGAGCGTTGTCCTGTTTTTCTTTTTCACACTACTTCTTTACAGGCCTGCTTATCCTGCTGAGCATGTGGGTCATGTATACTGCGCTGGAGGACATTGTGCACTGGGAGTAATTAATGGGATGATGCAACACTCTTTGCTGTTGCATCCTCGACCCCACACACACACACACACACACACACACACACACACACCGCCCCACCCTTTATCTTTTTTGTTTATTTTTTCTCTATGAATTATGTCCCGACCTCGGCAGTGCTGCAGCGTTTCTACGCCGCCGCCATAGAAGCAGCTGCTGCAGCTTCCAGGCATGGCTGGAGTGTGTCTGCATGCATGTGTGTGTGTGTGTGTGCGTGCACGCTGCACACCACCAAAACATTTGGAAGATTTTATACAATATTTGCCTCCCAGAGGCCTGCTGCACAGAAGCAATCCATAAATCTCTGGAAGTCTCTGGAAAGCCAACTGTGGTATTTATCTCCCTAATACTGGATATCTACTGAGGACAGCTTAACTCCTGCACCTCAGAGGCTGCATTTTTCCTCAGCAACACAACCGCATGCAGCTGATGTTCCAAAACAAAAAACCACAGGAAAAAAAACAGCAGTCCTATAACCAGCGTGTAGAGATAATACAACCGGTGCATTTTGATTTATGATGTGAAGATGTGAGGAGGAGAAATTTCTCTGTGAAACAGGTTCAGAACGCCGGCGCAGGAAAAGGTCAGAACAGCAAAGTGTTTATCTACAGAGATGATGGTGATTCTCAGGACCAGTGTTTCTGGCTTCTGCAGGAGTGTTTTTATAAAGCTCATGTTTTAAAGATGACATGGGAGGTTCTGTTGATCGTGGGTTTCTCAGCCGTTGTTTGTGCGACCCGTCTTATAGCAGGACGCTTGAGGGGAGATGTCAGCGGCGGTGGTGAACACCTGGCCAATCTCAGAGCTCATCGCTCTCATTTGATATCAGTGGTGTGCCACTTAGCTGGAGCAGCATCCAGGAGGATCAGCCGCCATAATCAACAAATTACAAACACAACATAGTGGGAAAAAGTGATTTGGTTCCCGTGTATCTTGGCAAATGAGCTCGCCACCACAGAGCCATTTGAATGTGTGTATGTTACTGTGTGTGTGTGTGTGTGTGTGTGTGTGTACATGCTGGGTTATATTTGTCCTGTCACTTAGTGTGAGAGCTTGAGCACACAGCCCCTCTTCAGTTCCAACAAAGGCATGATTGCATATTCAACAGGCTGCAGACAGACAGTCGAGGTGTCGCAGCTTCTCGTACTAAATTTTCCCGACAAATGCGTTAAACTTTCCTG